GGCCCTGCCCCCCGTGAGCTGTCAGCAAACACCCCTCCCTCCGCCCATCTCCCACAGCTGCAGGACAGCGGACAGGCCCTGCGCCCCGGACTGTCCCTCCACATGTCCCACGGAGGCTGTGAGAGGACACCCACTCCAGGGACAGCTGCTGCACCGTGGCCCTTACTGAGCACGGGGACAGTGCCAGACGGAGTAGGCGCTCAGTAAACACCTGCGGCCGCAGCCTCTGGTCGTCCTGACCTTCTGTCTGGGCCTCGGTGAGAGAGCCTGGCAGCAACGGTAGGCTTTTGTGGAGCCAGGCGCGGGCTGTGCTTGTCAGATGCTGCCTCATTTAACATGCACACACATGCACATGCACACACATGAACACACCCACATACACACTCACGAACACATCCATAAGATGGGCAATTTTCCCTTTTTACAGATGAAAGAACTGAAACTCAGAGAGGTTAAGTTAGTTACTGAAGGTTGCACAGCATTCCCTTACAGCAGCAATTCAGCCCTCATAGACCTGTGCTCAAGGTCTATACCAGTAGCTAAGGAGTCATCCCCACCCCAAGAAGGATGACTGGTCACCTCTAGTCCTCTCTCTGGGTCATCTGAGTGACCCAGGCCAGGGACCCTTCTACTTCAGTCAATAAGGGAAAAAAATGAGTCAGAGCCGTCAGTGTCTGGGAGCCAGGCAGTGAAACCCCCGCATTCGCGGATGGCGTTATCATGTCATTGCTGTGGATGCACTTGTGTTTACAACGACTGCCCAGAGCTTTATGAAGCCTTTCCAATTCGCTCTCACGGTAGGTGATTTTACTGCCCACCATCAATTGCTGCAGAAATAGAACATTTCTGCTTTATAAAAGATAAACACCAGTAAATAAACAAGAATAAACACATCAAGGACATATCAGTTACTGCAGCTAACCCTACAGAGAGATGTCCTGGGAGGGGTTAATTTAATTGCCCCACTGGCATGCAGGAAGGAGTGGATGCAGCCTGCTGGAGCAGCCCCATACGATACGATAGGAGCTGCAGGGAGCAGCAGGTGGAGCTGCTGCACCCACAGGCAGTGATGGCGCTGGACTCCGCATTCCAGTGCCCGCTCACGGCTTTGTGGGAGCCGCCAGGCAGTGGGGGCTGCTGCAGTGGTGACCGGCTGCACCAGCCATGCGTTCCTGACCTCAGCAATGCGGCAGGCTCCTGGTCCCCCACCTGATGGGCAGAGGTAGCAGCTCTCTGGTCGGTCATCACTGCAGGCTTCTGGAGGTATCCTGGGGGGCCTGGCCTGAAGCCCCCTCCTCAGCCCTGCCAATAATTTAGACAGCACCAATCCTTCCTATAAAATCCCTTTTCTGTTTAAAACATCCAGAGTGGTACAGAGTTCCTGCCCTGAGCCCTGGCAGACAAAAATGCTTAGAGCAAAAAGGCTCTCATTGCTCACACAATTGTTCTATTTCTCGAGGGAAGCTCAATTTCTTCCCAGTTCTGAAGTCTGAGATCAGCGGGAGCTATAAACATGGCTTGGAGCTCGCAGCCCTGTGGGCAGCTGTCTGCCCACTGGTACTCGGAGCGTCCACCCTGCAGTCCGCACCTCACTCCCTCGTCTTAGGAGGCCTCTTCCCCTTCCCACACCCCCACCCGCTGCTATGATAGCACTTCTTACCTTTTCTTTGAAATAGACAAATTCGAATACTGTTTTACTTGGGGCTAGAGGACTGTGAGGTTTCTTTTTCTTTTCTTTCTTATGTGATCATCTTTATTGCTCTGAAGTTGTATTAAAAAGTAAGCGTACATTCTGATCCACTCTTTAACCTCTGTTGAAACACTCCTCCTCCAGGAAGTCTTCCCTGATTGCTCATCCCAAGGTGTCTTTCTTCCCTCCCCTGCTAGGTCTCTGGATGGCAATCCTGGGCCCAGATCAATTTCTCACAGTGCTGGGAAGGAGAAGAGGTTCTTAATGCAGAGTGAAATGAAATGAAATAAAATTAAATATAAAAGTGAGTCTGTGACTTAGAAGCGCATGCCCAGGGCGCAGCCAGCGAGCAGGTCTGAGGTCTGAGCAAGGGGGCGCGGGCTGGTCAGTTTCACGCCAGCACCCAGCGAGCCGGCGCTAAGGGACTGCCGGGCTCTTCCTCCCGCCACTCTCAGGAGCCTGAAGCAGTGTGCTGAGCCTGAAAGACACCGCGTTCAGTCTCGCCCAGGAAGGTGTCTAGGCTCCAAACTAGGTGGCTGCACGGTGCCCAGAATCACAGCGCCGCAGCAAAGGGGGCGCTAAATGAGGAAGGACAGTCTCGGAGGCTGGGGGAGGGGCTGTTTGCTGGAGGCAGGGCAGGCATGGGGAGGAGGGAGGAAGGGAAGGAAATGGAGGCAGGCCTCTGGTTTCCTAGGAATCCACAAGTCCCTGTGACAGAGAGCTCGTGCCCAGCCTGCTGGCACCCCGGGCTTGGCACGCGAGTGCACGTGGCGTCCTCCAGGTCAGCACCACACGCAGGCTGCTCGTGCGGCGGCTCCGCCCGTCCTGAGAGAGCATGCTCCCAGAATTAGGGTCATGTCAGGACCTGACCCCGCAGTAGCCGGAGTTGTTTCCAGCCGACTCCAGCAGGCCCTGCAGAGCCAGAACAAGAGGGACGCGTGTTCTGGGGCCTTGGCGTCTGGGGCCGTGTGCCATCCAGCAGCATTGCCGCAGATGCCTGCCCGATGCCCGGACTGTCGGAGTCGAAAGCCGCCTGTTCCCCTGCACCCTCTGCTTCTCGGGACTAGAGAGCCTTGAGAACCGCACGGCCCCAAAACTAAAGCCCCGCTGTTATTAATTCCCTCTAATTCCTCATTCCTTCGAAAACTGCACTAAGCCTTCTTTTTCTTTCCTCGTAGTTACAGAAAAGAACCAAGGCAAATAACCAAGATTTCAGCTCCATTAATTTTTCAGGGCACCATAAATTAAAGAGCAATTGCAATGCAGTCAATTTCTGCAAGAAAATAAGTCTCCGTGATTGTGCTTTAGTCTAATTACATGGAAGGCTAAGTGGTGCTATTAATACCCAGGAGCACATGTTGCCCCCACGGAAGGCGCCAGAGCAAAGAGGCCGCCCGTGAGGCTGGGGAGACGCAGGGATGCATCGGCAAGGACCAGGCCTTGGCGAGGGGCCAGGTCCTATTGACAGCTGCGGCTCAGTCCAGCCTGGAATCTCCAGTTGGGGTCCCCGCCCTGGGTGATTCCTAGCGAAAGATTCACCATTCATTCATTCATTCATTCATTCATTCATTCATTCATCTAACAAAGTGCCATCCATCCCTTCATCTTCCATTAATTCATCCATCCACCCTTCCATCCATCCATCTATCCACCCACCCGTCCACCATCTATCCATCCATTCTCAACCTGTCTTTCCAACCAATATTTTCAGCCAGGTCACTGAGATTAAAATGGTGAACATAACCAGACACTGCCCTGTCCTAAAGGGGCTCGCCCAAGTGTGCGCCTGGTGCAGCAATAATCAAACAGCAGCAGAACCGTATGGTTACACGTCGCCGGTGCCGGGAAGAAGGAGCACACGGTCTAGAAGCGTGTGCAGCGGGGCCCAAGCTGCCTGGTGGCACAGAGAGGGCTCCTCCCCTGACTGCTGACCCTGCAGGTCTGTGCTGGCCCTCCCCACCCCTCCCTGGCCTGGGGATGCCTGTGTGGATGAGCCCTCAGATTCACTCCCTCGGCCTTCTGGTTGGATGCAGCCTGTGGAAGGGCCAGCAGAAGACGGGGGGTAGGAAGAGGAGGCTGGGGGGATTCCTCTGGCCCCTGGCTGTTCGGCTACAATGTGGCAGGGGCTCAGTTGCTCCAAGCAGGGCCAGGCCTCCCACCGGGCTTTCCCTGGACTGTGGAGCCCCTTCTACTGGCCTCAAGAAATATCCGTGCCCCAATCCCTGGAACCTGTGGCCTTGACCTTATGGAGCAAAAAAGGACTCTGCAGGTGTGATTGTTAAGATCTTTAGATAGGAAGATTTTTCTGGAATATCTGGATGGGCCCTGAATGCAAACACCCGGACCCTTATAAAGGGAGGGGCAGAGGGAGATGCCCCTCTCTCTCACATACATGCATGCATATACATACATGCACACAACACACAGGTGCGCACACACATGTAGACACACATATACACGGGCACTGGAGGAAGTGGCCCTGCTGGCACCTTGGTTTTGTCCCAGTGAGACTGATTCTGGACTTCTGGCCTCCAGAGCTGTGAGAGGGGAAGGTTGCGACAGGCTAGGCCAGCACGTCTGTGGTCGTTGGCTGCTGCGTCTGTAGGGCCTCCTCCCGCCTGCCCCCGCCGCCAGGCCCAGGGGGGCCCTGCGCTCTCCCACCCGGGATGGCCCAGGGTGGTCCTGCGCTCTCCCACCCGGGATGGCCCAGGGGGGCCCTGCGCTCTCCCACCCGGGATGGCCCAGGGGGGCCCTGCGCTCTCCCACCCGGGATGGCCCAGGGCCCACACCTGGCCCTGTGCTCTCCCACCCGGGATGGCCCAGGGCCCGCACCTGGCCCTGCGCTCTCCATCCCTCACTCTTCACCCACCCTGGGCAGAGCCTCCGTTTCCTGCAGGGGCCCTGGGGGTCCCGGCTCCGGGAGGAGGGGTGCTGATTTGGGATCTGAAGAACAGCTCGCTGCTCTGGGGAAGGTGGCAGCGTGTTCCAGGCTGAGGGAAAGGCCCGGCGCGGCCCAGCAAGGGAGTGCGGAATGTTCTGGGAGGACGGGCTCCTCTGCCCTGTCCTCATGCCTCTGTGCCCGGGCGCCTGTCCCCGCTGCGCCGTCCCCACGGCCACGCAGCCAAGCGGCGCAGTTCCTGACGGTGGACACATGCCCTGGCACGGGCCTCGAGGAGCAGAGCCATCACGGGCCATGCGGCCCCAGTGCCCCCCCCCCACAGTCGGCCTGGGGCTCTGGTCCCTCCTGCCTGAATGAGGCTCTTCCACCTGACATCAGCCCAGAGGGCTCCTGCCGCGGAGGCTTCCTTACCTTGCTGTCCCTGGTGTAGGCCAGCACCTTGTCCTCCTCCTTGGGGTGGAAAGTCAGGGTCTCCACAAAGAAGGGGACGAGCTGCTTCTGGAAGGTGGCGCCTTCGTCTGCGCTGAGGAAGAGGCTCTGGTCGCGGTCACCGAGCGAGGAGCTCAGGAGGATGATCTGAAACACAGACGGGCCGGGAGGCTCGCTGGGCGCTGCGCACGGGAGGGCGCGCAGCAGGAGTGGCCGTGGCCTCCCCGCAGCTCAGCACAGCCACCGCCCTGCATCGCTCCTCGAGCGCGGTGCCGAGGCTCTCCCCACGCCCAGCGCGCCGTGAGCGCGAGGCTCGCGGTCTCTGCCATGCGAGAGCCCGTCTGCAACGTGCGAGACGAGTGGCAACGTGTGTGAAATGCGGTTTCGGGGATGACCTTTGCCTGAAGGAGGACCAGGTGGCAGGACCAGCTGGCCGGGAGGGCCGACGGGGGGCGGGGGCCGGCAGGGCTGCCTCCGGGGCAGGAGAGCGTGGAGCCAGCGGGCTGAGCTGGGGGCCCAGGGGCAGGTGCGGGGCCCCGGGGCAGGTGCGGGGCCCCGGCGGGGGACCGAGTGGGCGGAGCCCATGGCGCTGGAGGAGCAGGGTCAGGGCTGCCAGGCTGCAGAGGGCTGCTGTGCATTGCTGGGCCCCAAAGATGTGCCGACGTCCAAGCCCCGTTCTGGTCACTGTGACCTTACTTGAAGTAGGGTCTTTGGAGATGGAGCCAAGGGTCTCAGGATGAGGCCATCATGGATTTGGGGAGGGCCCTGGCACCCGTGACCGGCATCCGGACACGAAGAGGGGCCTGAGAGGTGCAGAGGGAAGGCAAGGCAGAGGCTGGAGGGACAGGGACGCGCCACAGAGCAGGCCGTCCCTCCAAGCCTCCGGAAGGAACCAGCTCTGCCAACAGCCCGGACTCCCCCTCCAGACGGCGAGAGCACGAGTTCCCCAGTTTCCAGCCCCCCCGTGGAGGTCTTTGGCGGCCAGGAAGCACACAGCGCAGGGGCAGCTCTGCCGCGGTCTCGCTCTGCGGGAAGGAGGCCTCTCCCGGGAACGGGGGAGTGGCCTGGCTGGGTCTTCACAAGAACCCCTAGTGCCGGTGGAGACAAAGGGGCGGCACAGGAGCGGGTCACTCAGGAGGCCACCACCTGTCCAGGCTGGATTTGGCGGAATGGGCAGATCCAGGACATGTGTCCCGTGTAGGGAATGGCAGGAGACCCAGACACTCGAGTGTTGGCCTCAGACTGCTTTGCTCTGAAATCGGCAGACAAGGCCCATCAAGAGGACAGGCAACTCCACCCGACACCTGCTTCTTCAAGGACAGCAACAGCGGCCCCACGGCTACGCAGCTGAGCCCGGCCCAGGCTCCTGCCCTCCCCCGCCCCGCCCCCCCTCCTGCCCCACCGAGCTCCTGCCCCCCTGCGCTCCTGCCCGGGTGCTCTGCCCCCGCGTCGCCCTCCCGCCCCGCCCCCCCCCCCCGCTCCTGCCCACCGAGCTCCTGCCCCCCATGGGGGGCGTGTCCTGCCCCCCCCCGCACTCCTGCCCCGGGTGCTCCTGCCCCCCCCGCGCTCCTGCCCCGGGTGCTCCTGCCCCCGCGCTCCTGCCCCTCCTGTTCCCACCCCCCCTCCTGCCCTGCTACTGCCCCTGGGCTCCTGCCCCCCACCGCCCGCCCGAGCTCCTGCCCTGCAAGCGCTCTCCTGCCCACCGGCCCCTGCGCTCGCCCGCGCTCCTGCCCCAGCTCCTGCCCCGAGGTCCTGCCCCCCACGCTCCTACACCCCCGGCTTCCCGCCCACCCGGCTGGCCGCACAGGACACTGTGCAGGGCACCGAGGGGTTTCCCTGCGTCTCACAGAAAGGCCAGGGAGGGCCTCAGGCAGGCCGGGGCGGGCCTCTGTCCCCACCACGGGTGGAGAAAAGGGGAGCCCTGAGCACTTCCAGGGAGGTCAGTGGCGGGCCCAGCCATCCAGTTTGGGTGGGTCCCAGCGTGGGGGGGGCAGGACGGGCCCCTGGTCGGCTGAGCGGCCGATCGCTGGTCTCCGGGCCTAGCCTCATGCTGCTCCCACAGGGGACACACCCTGTGAGCCTTCACACCCTGGTGGCCCCAGGGAGACCCAACCTCCACAGGTGCTCCTTAGCCATTCCAGGACTGGCCTCCCTCCAGCCTCCCTGCCTCCTAGATGACCTCAGCCGTGTCTTGGGGGACACACCCACCACGTTTCATGGGGCGGGGTCTCTTCCTTTGCAACTGTCAGCCCTGCTATTACAGGGCCACATTTTTTATCTTTTTATCTTTTTTATCATTTTTTATATTTTTGTCTTAATACAGTTTCAGATGGACAGAAAGGTTGCAGAGATAGTCCCCAGTTCCCATCTGCCACCCAGCCTGTCTCCCGTTGTCCACATCTTGCCCCAGTGTGGGGCTCGTCACCACCAGGAGACCAGCCGCGGCACACTAGTCCTATCCGAACGCTGTCCTTTGCTCAGGGTCGCCAGTGTCTGCTTCTGCGCCCCAGAATCCCACCAGGGCCCTCACTGCATGCGGTCGCCACGCCGCCCCGGGCTCAGATCTTGCTGCTGTTCGAGGCCCGGCAGTGTTGGGGGACTGGTCGGGGACTCCGTGGAAAGCCCCTCACTTGCTGGGGGCTCTTGGGGAAGAGCTCGAGGCGAGGCGAGTCGGCCGCTACGGCCCGGGAGGTGCACGCTGCCCACCTGCAGGACTGGCCACAGCCGGTGCCGGGCACCGCCTGGCGAGGGGTGTCCGTCAAGATTTCCCTCCTCCCCACAGTCCTCTGCGGAAGGCAGCCACTGTGCTCGGAGCGAGGGTCGGCCCCGCCCCCGAGGGTGGAGTAGCTACATGAATCCTTTGGAAATCTGCAGGGCGGTCTGTCCCTTCTTCCCCGTTATTTACTGATTCAATCGCTTTTCTATATCGCTATGAGCTCGTGAATATTTATTTTACGCTTTGAGCTGTAATGCAAGACGGTTCTACCTTGTTGCTCGACCTGCCCCAGCTCGGGCCGCTGGGAGCTCCTTCGGCGTGGCCCGTGGCCCCGGCCGCGCCCCGCCATCCTCCCTCTAACGTTCTGCACCGCACAGGGATCCCGGGGCAGCCAGGAGGACGGGTCCGTGCGCAGAGGCCTTCCACACGGCTCGCTCCGACCATGCGACACGCGCACGCCCAGGGCGGGACCCACACGCCCGGCTCCGGCCGGCCACGAGGCCAGGGCAGCTGGTCCCCTCATTGAAGCACTTTTCCTGTGACTCGGTTTTCCAAATGTTCTTCCCAAGCCACTGTTTGCCCACCGGCCCCAGCAGCCGCCCCTGTACCTCGAGCAACTAGCACAGGCCCGACACGGAGCTGGCAGTTAGCCCACGCCCGGCGGCGGGAAACACGCTTGCGGGAGTGGGTGCGCGGCAGCTCCGCGGGCTCCTCAGGGAACTGTTTGTTTGCTTTTCTCCCATGGGAGGAAGCGTCCTTACGAAATGTAGGTAGCTTGGAGCGCAAAAGTCATTAAAAAAATCTCATTCACTTATTCCTCTTCTCCACTCAGAGCTTCACACATTAGTGAAGGAGCAGTCATTCATTCATTCTGGCATAGCACGACAGCACGTAGTCCAAGCAAGGATTCGGGGTGACCGGATTGTGAGAGCAGAGAGCAGAGAGAATAGCACCCAGGTGCGGGCAGGGGCAGGCAGGTGCGGGCAGGTGCAGGCAGGTGCGGGCAGGGGCAGGCAGGTGCAGGCAGGTGCAGGCAGGTGCAGGCAGGTGCAGGCAGGTGCGAAGGCAAGGAGGAGGCTTTCCAGAGGAGGAGATGTCCAGAGGAGCCTTGCAGAGGGTGGACATCTGGCCCGAAACCTGGGAGTGTTCCTGGCAGCAGGGACACAGGACCAAAGGCTTGCGGGGGGGGGGCCCTCCCCCGCCCCCTCCATCCTCACCTCCCCACCCCACAGGCTCCGCGTCAGCCACACCAAGCTCTTTGTGTACCCCAGCTGGTGGGGACCGCTGGCACCCTGACCACCTGTGTGTGTCCTGTCCCCTCAGTGGGCAGGATGCTCGGCAGGGCCAAGACACCCCAGCCTGCCATTGGCAATTCAGAATCAAACTTAAATTCCAAAATGACGCAAAGTACATGTGTGATAAGATCAAAATAGCTTCTTTCACTTTCTGAATACAAATTCTGGAAAACTTTGACAACCCTGATTGTTTCTCATTTAGTTTTGGTGTCCCTCTTTGCAGGGGCTGCAGCATGAATTCAGCCTGTTCCAGTGAAGGGATACCCTTCCCTTGTTATCTGTTATCTCGTTCTCTGAGGCACACTGAGAAGGTCACCTCCTCCAGGAAGCCCTCTAGGATGCAGAGGCATGCCACTTCTTCCCCTGCCCTCCTGCCAGAATCTTGTGTTCAGGTGTTCTCGTGACAGGTCTGCCTCCCCTCCGGCCTGGAGGCTGGCAGCCTGGCGGTGCCATGTCTTCCTCACGGCCGTGTCCCCAGCCTGGAGCTCCGGGGCTGGCGCCCAGCAGGGCTGGGATCCTAGTGAAGGGGTGTCGGGTTGTTCACTCCGGGAGTGGGGGCCCGTCTCTCCATACAGCCTGCTCCTGCCCTGCCCACGCCCTCTGCTGAGCCCAGGGCACTGCCTGTGGCAACGAGAAGAAACGAAGCCCGAGGAAGTGCTTCCGGGGCCCAGCAATCTCTGTCGGGGCTAATTTTGGCTGCAGAGTTGGAAGAGGAGGCCAGGAAAGACAGGGAAGAAGAAAGTGCTGACAGGAAGGAATTATTGGAGCAAAGAAAACAAATCAATTAGCATCACGTCAGGCGGAGCTGGCAGATTGCTCTTCCAAATTGGGAACCAGCCTCTATTTTAAACTGTGTATTTTTACTGCTTACTATTCCGGGGAGACATATGGTACCTGTGCTGGCTTCCGGGGGCCCGTGAGGCTGGGTTTTGGGAAATCAGAGGCAACGTGCTGACATATGTGGAAGAGAAAGATCTGACAGGCGCATCTGACGGGCGGCGGTCCGTGAGAAGCATCCCTCCCAGTGACGGCTACGGATTTGCAGGGACAGGGACAGGAAGGGTCGGTGAATCGCTTGTTTTATTAGACACGCACAGCACACCTGCTAGGAAGGTGCGATATCCCCGTTTCTCGGA